TAAACGGCTGCAGGACGAACAATCTACGTCTGTTGAAGCGCACGCGCAGACCAATTAAAGAAAAGGTAGAGTACACAACGCTGGTAGAGTACACAACAGTTCTACAATATACTTTTTAATTAAATTGATAATAATAATAATAATAATAATAATCTTTATTTTATTTTCTTCTACATTTCGAGCAACAATACAAATTCTAATGCAGGCAGACCTCGTTATCACTTACAGCATATAAAAAAAATTTGGAATAGTGTATCAAACACAATAAATTGAGACGTTTAAGTACATTTTCTACTCAATAATGATTCCAAAATTATGGAATTTTTTATAACAATGTAACTGCGAATTGTATCTTTGAGAGTTACATATAAAGTAAAGTATATATTTGAGAGTTACTTATATGCATTCAAAGTTCTAGAAACAAAATTAAGAATTATTGATCAATATAATCTATACTTATAATAAACCTGAAGAGTTTGTTTGTTTGTCTCTATAATCTGAGGAACTACTGGAACGTATTGATTTTTTTGTTGTTGAATAGTCCATTTATCGAGAAATGCTAAAGGCTATATGACATCACGCTAATAATGATATTCCATACCTTCCTTTTCCAAATCCATAATTAAATAATTTAAACTGTTTACGCAGGATTAAATCATGTTTTGAATAATTCAAGCCAGTACTATCGTTGTCGCTTATATAAAAATTCTTATATTTTATGTTGGTTAAGTACACGGAAATGTTACATTTAGCTAACGCTACTGATCACTAGATGACGCTCCTGTGCTTTTAAAACGGGATTTTTTGATTTCGTTATATTTGTAGTCTTTATTTTTTCCGATTTATATCAAACAACGTAGCTTCCGATTCAATTTTGCGGTTTTTCCAATAATGAAACGAAAAAATAAAATTTTGCATTTAGCTGACGCTGCTGATCACTAGATGACGCTACTGTATTTTTATTTTTCCGATTTTCATCAAATAAAGTCGCTTTTATTTTTATTTTGCGCGGTAGTAAGGGTTCCGTAGTCAACTAGATTACAAACCTTGTAGTTTCATCATGTCAGTCTGTCTGTCCGTTCCGCGGTTTAGCTAAAAAAACGACTGGTATTAGAAAGGTGTAACTTAGCATTGTACACGTTAATCACGCCGAGAAAGTGATAAAATTAAATCTTGAAAAAAAAATATTTTTCACTTACCTTCCTTACATGGAAAGTGGAGGATGAAATTTTTTTTTTCTTCCCATAGCGTGGAGTATTGTTTAATAGGTCTTACAAAAATATTACGGGTGTGTGAAGACCGTTTTTCGATTAAGTTAGCCGTTCATGACTTATTAAGCTTCAGTGCCATTTTCGTTAGAGTGAAATGTTCCTCCTTGCGCTTGCCTGTTTTTTTTAAATTATATATTTTAATGGAGAATTATCAGACAACAAAATAATATATGGGTGATTATTAACGATATACTTTAATACTTAACCGAGGGGCTTTAAATAATGCGTGCGAAAAATGTATTTAACTAAATTAATAATTATGAATGACTTAAAATTATACATTACTAGAAATGAGCCACTAACGATAGGAATAAGTTTTATCTAAAATAGTAACTAGAATTCAAAGCATCAGAGTTAAATAATAAATTGGGGAAAAAAATTGAGTGAACGTAACTAGATTCGTTCGATACCTACAAATTGAAGAGATGCCAGAATATCCGTTGACAAAATTTTATTTGGCGTCACGCACTAATATCTCTGAAAATGCTGAATTGAGAAAGCAAGAGCAAGCTGACCGTCAAGTTGTAATGAGGATTTTTAATTAATTTTAATTAAGATAAGCTTAAGACTCCAGTATAGCAGGTCAGTGTGTACACAGTACTCTCGGACCTCGTGGGCGTAAATATCAAATATCAAAAATAAACATCACAAGTTTTACAAATTCAAATCTACTACTAAAGAATGGATTACAAAGGATGTTGTTTTTACAAGAATTACAACGTTAATGTATCACATATAACCTTTAAAATAATAAAACCCAATGAAAATATTCATTCACATCAAATTTTACAAATATGCACTTGTCAGACTCCCGTTACTGCTTGATCTCCCACACCGCCTGGTTGGCTGGAAGAGATCTCTTATAGAGATAAGCCCACCCTTGCTTGTGATTTACCTATTATTGTAATGTTAATTTTGTTTTTTTGTGCAATAAAGAGTATTTAATTAATTAATAAAAAAATTAGGTTAAATTAATTTACATAATTTGTTTTGATTTCACTATAATTATAAAAACAGTTAAGTAAGAAAAAATAAGATGCTTTCCGTACCTTGCCATCCCTCTTCATTTTATTACAATACAATCGTTACTGAATAATAGCACACCGGCATCGTAAAAGTAGGAATTAAATATATAGGAGATGTTAAATAAAACCCCAATAAATTCTACGCCTTGTTTATAACCCAGTAAGTGCAAAAACAGATTACTTAACGGTTACTGCGTAACAAACACTCTACGAGAGCAATGAGAAAGAATAGCCGCTTCGTTATAGGCTTCTACAAATACTCGACATTGGGACTTTTTTTAAAGGACGTAATCGTAGATCAATTACATTACTTCATAGCCATATTACTTACAGATAAATATATTCAAGAGCAAAAGGAAAAATTACATCAATGAATGGTATATAATTTTATAAGAGATTAATGTTACTTGAGCTATACTTAAGGTGACTATACTCCAATTTTCAAATGGGATAGTCCCGCTTCACGCTGTCCTTCATACTGTCCCCAGCAGAGCAAAAATGTTTCTCTATACAAAACAGACAGTAACGAATATTTATTATATACACCGCTACACGTTATATTTGCCTGAATACGACTCACCTGTTGCAAAAGCTTTTCCTCTAATGAATGCAATTGACAACACAGTTCTGAAAGCTGTTTATTTATAAGAATCCATCAACGAGTTGTGATTGTGAGGCTCCATTAATATTTGATAACTAGATCCCGAGTTTAATCGATTTGTTCTACTGGAAATTATAAAACATTTGCAATAGCAATTTAATGATGATTAAATCAAATCACATATAGAAGAAAGTAATTAAACGCGTAATAATGTCCCTAACGTGAAATATTGGAATTCCTTCCTAAACTGTCATTAATAGAGAAAGATTTGCAAATTTATAATAAGTCCAACAAATCTGGGATCTGTTTCAGGATTCGCTAGATTTACTTCAAAGTATTTTTTTATAATAATTAAAAGAAATAAATTCAGTAATGCATTTAATTCGAGGGTAGTTTTCCACATTTGGTCACTTCCCTTCATGTATTTTTTTTATTTAGATACTAGATTAACTAATGTCCTGCTTTGAACAACAAAATAAATAGTCACTTTAGTTATACTATACACTCGAGCTGTGTCTGCGAACCAGAAGTGAACATGTTTCTTCCTATTCTTATTGAGTTGTGTATCTAGGACAAGGCGTTTTTCTAAGGCCACACACACACAAGTAACTAACATTCTTCATATAAATTAAAAATACAAGAAAACAAACAATAAAATATATTGTAGCTCTTTATGCGTACAATTTTTATTTATATATAAATTTATAAATTAAATAGAGCACTTGACAAAATTATGATTTTTTCAATTGTCCGAAAAGTTGGAATTATTTTCGTCCGTTGTATGATTGCGGGAGCCCCGAGATTCTTTTTAGTATATCATTCGATATAATAATCATTTTCTACATTGGCCCGACCGGAAATCGAACTCAGGACTTCAGAGATTTTGAGACCTTGAAAATACCATGCGATATAGTCAGCTACGGGGGTCATCTGGGAAAAATGTTAAAAACAGTTGAACCGGGTGGACGCTTATATGGTGTAATAGAGATAACTCGAAACGTAAAAAGCTATCCTAAACGTTATTTCCCTAAGTTTTGGTAGTAGACAAACAGTAAGACAAACCAATATTTTGGCTGCGCTCTACAAAGCCGTCACCAAAACAAATTACCGAAGGACTTCTATATTAAGGATTCCCAACCATCGCAAAATATTTAGATTAATGTTTTTTTTATTATTCGTTATGATCGCGTTAGGACTTAATAATAATAATAATATAATCTTTATTACACACATACAGACAGGAAAATAAAGAAATTACACAGTAAAACAATACAAAGTACACAAAAGGCGTACGGACTTACTTAGTGATAAGAATGTGAAAAAATGTTAAATGTATATTACGGTAGGCCCGGTTAAATATTTATATTAGGTTATTGCTTATAAGCCAATTTATGTCCAAAAATATTAAATTGGTCAATATATGATTAAAAAAAGATAAATATAAAATAGGCAAATATTATTATTAAGGCTTATACAGCGAGTCAGGACTTTTTTTAATTTACTGGGGCTGAACACGGCGGGCGGATCCCGGGTCCTTCCCCCCGTGGGTACTCACGGGTTTTGCAGAGTAGGTCGTCGTCGCTTAAGCTTATTCAGGACGGGTGCGGGGTCGAAGAGCACTGGTTTAAGGCTTGAGGACTTTTTTATTTTGAAAATGACAACCCTAATTACGGTTCAAAAGGTCGGTACAGTAACAAACAGCGAAAGACAATAGGAGCTTTTTATTTATCATAATTATAAATAGTATTGAATGAAAATATCAAGTGTAATTTCAAAAATTGTTCAAATAGAAATATACAGTTCTGTGACAAGCACACTTGACTAACAACCGGTTGCACTAACGTCCATTAAAATTGTCATTACTTTAAACTGACATTACCGATACAAATTTGACATTCATTAGAGCTTAAAGTCGTCACTAAACCATAATAGACGTTTATGCAACCGACCGTAAGAGAACTTAAAACTCAAATGAAATTAAATTTAAAAATGCCTTGTCTCCACGTTTACTCATCATTCGTATTAAAAAAATATACTTCATCAATAAATATCTTATAAAAGGAGATTACGCAGCTACCATAGACATTTATATACCGAATTTACCTGTCTTTGTCGTGTGTTGACTGAGGATACCGCAGCACCGTCTGCTGCGCCTCCATGTCCACCACGCATTGTGTGCCAAGTTCCAGCTCTGTAACAATAATAACAGTCTATATTTACCCCATCGTTTACTAAGAATATTATCTTTTTAAAAATACTACTACTTTTTTATTTTCTTATATGTTAAATCTATACATAATAATCAATAGTAATATTATAAAGAGGAAAGATTCAATCGGTATTGTGCATCGTTACACCACTTGTAGCATGAACTACTCGAAAGACTTACAATAACAATCTATAAAAAAAAGGAAACAAAATCTTTCTTAAAAAATTTAATTTAAAAATATCATCTTATCAAAAAACTACGAGTATAACAGATAAATACTATAATATAAGCTCATCGCCTTATTGTAAAGTGTCCCAAATAAATCTCGTATTATAACAAGATGTATCTTGTTATAATACGAGACTTGTTATAATACGCATTATAACAAGATGTATCTTGTTATAATACGAGATTTGTAAAGACCATTGACAATATTAAATCTCACATATAACCGAAATTAAAATTAGAAAATAACTATTCATGCAATTCATATTCACGCTATATCTTATAACACACCGAGTAAAATGCCAAGATGGCAATGAACTCATGTATAACATGAACTTTACAAATTACTTTAGTTAGTATGGAGTAACCATTAAGGAGTAATTATATCCGTATCATGATATGGATCGATATCCAAATAAACAGTTCCTTAGGGGCCACGCGGGCGAAGCCGCTGGCGGAAAGTTAGTGTTTTAATATTTCCAACTTTTGTCTCATATGCATAATAGTGATGTATCATCAATTGTAGTGATGTGTCACATATATATTAAATATAGAAGTATACCTATAAACAATAGTGTAACGTAATCTAACATTAAGTTGATGGTGAGTCAACTTGAGGTCGATACGTCCGGCGACCACACTCGCAAATCCGGTTCTGTAATGCCAGCCTCATGTACGCAAATAGAACGTGGCTAGATAAGAACAGTACACTAATATTATATCGAAAATATTTTTAAATTCTAGTGTCCAATTATTAATATGCGATTTGATGTAGAAGAAAGTTCTTAGTACTCAAAAGGAGCTACACAATTATTTTTTTTCCGACCTTTTGTAATGATTTGCGTCCGGTATAGCAAATATAACATTAAATAGAATTTAGAAAATAATAAAGATTTTCGGTTTGTTAGGTTCGTGGTGCGCGCAAAGACAATTGAAACGTAATGTAATTTATGATTGTGACAGGTACGCATATGACTAAATGTTATGTCATACCTAATAGAAGCAAAGATAAACAAAAATCCTTATATTGGGAAACTAATAAAGTTAAAAAGTTCTATGGTATGCCTATCTATATTCACATATTTTAAGGTTTAAGATTACTTACTCGATTTCAACAACAATCACCAGATGTCGCCAGTATTATTAAATTAGTTTAAACTATTTTTTTTTATAGTTGTGCGATAAACAATTGCCGAATAACTGTCAACTCTAAATGTAGATTTTCCAGTGTTAGATACGAGTTGTTAGTAATTAAGATATCTGGTGGTAAATGTTGAGGAAGGTTTGGCTCTTTGAATAAAGGAAGATTTAACACCAACTCTCAAATACTAGGATATAAAGTTGGAAACCCTGGACAATTCAGTTTAAAAACAGAACGCAGTCATGAAATCACTATATATTTAAATGAAAAAGAACTTAATTTATTTTGTAACGAGCAAAAAGTCATACCACCCCTCAGTAAGAATTGCAAAACCGTCGCTAGAAATTTTAAAATACATTATTATTATTGAGGCGCCTTAAAAACCAGGACTATACTAACAAGTATCCAGCAGATCGAAGGACAATATTAAAAAAAGGACGGTTGGAGACTTCTAGGGTGAGGTAAGTAATATTGAAGATCAGATTAAAATTACTCATTTACTAAGTTACTACACTTGTAAATAAGTAAGCACCAAGTCACAAAATTCAACGGCTATCCATACTATAGTGCATTATGGGGTGGAATCTATTTATAGAAAACCGTTAACATAAAAAAGTGGCGAAAATTAATCCCACTGCGGTCTCTACTGAAACCGCCACGAAATGCTCAGGCAATCTGGATGAATTCTTCTTATTCCTTGCACTTTCCCATTTTACGTGGGGTCGGCTCTCTTAACCTTCTTGCGCCACGATAATCTATCGAGGCTTGCCGGGTCATAGAAATCTCGTCATACCCAACCACCATGTCGACTTCGGGCATCCTCTGCCTCTCTTCTTCCAGCAGTTTAGAGCTGTCTTGACAACGTACTCCTCATCTCTACGTATCACCTCAGACAACTTTTCGGCTATCGCTGCTACCTTGAGGCTGCCACGGATATATTCGATTCTTACTTGACTTTGTCAAATCGCGTAATCCTTCCGGTCCACCTGACGATCTCCATTTGATCTAGGGGTAAGCTGTATGGAGTTTTTGTACGTTTGTTTCTTTGACAGTCAAACTACACCTGGACGCATGGCTGGTAATGGCTATTTCTCTCTATCTAACTCCATACAGAGGGAAGGCCTATACCCCAGCAATGGGGACGTAATAGGTTGATGACGACGATTACATATTGTGTACGTATTGTATCATTCTTATTTAAGAGATTCTCAAACGCAATGTCATCAATTTATCATTACAAACATTACCTGAAACACGCTCATAATAAGAACTAACCGCAGATTGCAAAATGTCGCAATAAAAGAATCGATTTAATACCGAAATTACGTAAAACGCGTTACGCCGAAAGTGGAGCGAAGCAATCACAGCGCGGATACTCAAGAGCATCCACCATGACGACTAACGGAACAGGTGCACTCGTTTTTATTTCACTGATGTCTTGTTTATTCTAATTAAAATAATTAACATTAAGGTTATCTGGTCAAAATCCAAAGACAGAGCAATTATGTATCACCTACATATTTGATTTAAAATTATTGCATTTGTTATCAATATATATACTGCTTATCTGAACATTATGATATAAAAATTATCACATACCTAATTGTCTTTTAGAAAACTTTATTGGTGTCATAAGTTATGACACCAATAAAGTTAATAACTTATTATAACATATAATACCCAATTTTAATTTCAAATAAAAAATTACAACAGTATTTAACAATAATAATAACTGAAATCTCGAGACAAAATGTAAAAGAAAAACATAATAAAGAACAAAGACCCTAATTAGGCAAGACTGATAGGAGATTCCTATTTTAGGTTTTTAATCAATTAAAAGATTTTTTTTGTATTGATATTGTGTTGTTATTAATATAATGATTTAAAATGAATTATGAATCATACTCATGCAGCCAGTAATAAATATTGTGTTCTACAAATCAACTTTAGTTTTTATCTGGTACAACTGTAATGGGTTGTGTCTAAAAGCAGTATGGAAGTTATAGAATGGGCAGAAATCTGTAGTTTCCATGCTGCCTTTAGAAAATAAAAAGAAGGATATATTTACTTTTAATAACATATAAAAAAAATCAATTGCATTATATTCCAACAAGTTAAAAGTTAAAAATGCACCCATCAAAATTTATGAATAATTTCTAACTACTTGGTACCTGACTGGCCAGTTCTAATAAAATATCAAATAATTATTGGTACTAGTGATGTTTCACCAGTAGAGAATGCCTCTATGGCATTAAGTCCATTTATCTTATTTAAGCCAAAAAATAATAAACAAAAATAATCAACATTCTATGCTGTTGTTTGTTAGTGTCATCATTGTTTTAATAATTTATTCCTATCAGCAGTACTACAGTTACTGAATGCCACTATAACCCATACAAAGAATAATATATAATAATAATAAATAATATCATACAAAGAATATTGGCAATTCTTATACTCAATATATAAAAAGGGTTGAGTGTTCATTATTTGATATTATAAACAACTAATGTTGGAGATATGTTTTTTATTTATTATAGTTATTTTAAAGATGTGTAAAAACACAATAATTATTTCAATATAACAAAATGTATAATAGACATATAATAATAAATAACTGGCAACTATGTCTGTTTAGAATAAAAAGCATCAAGTTAATATACTTAAAAGATTGTAGCCTTTAATATCTTGCTTTAAACTATTCTAAATAGAATAATCAATAATATTGGGAACTCAATTAATATAAAGAATAGTCAACTGCATGTCAGACTACAAACTGACAAATTTACCTACTCAATTTTAAACTTTATTTTATTGAAGGTAGAGGTAAAAACCCATTGAAGAAATTTGACATATTATGTTGACATGCAGCTGTGTGTACATGGTAGCAATTCATAATTAACAATTATTCTAATTGTTGTTTCAATAATAACTCCTCCTTTAGTTGATGCCTTATTTCTGTAGAATGTGTTCAGCATTGGGTTAGGTTAGTGGGCTCCAAATTTCCTGCATTTACATGCTCCAATTGGTCAATAGTGTGTGAAGAGTTGACTTTCTTACTCTAGCTAACCCATCTCCTCCCAGAAGGGCAGAAGCTTTTTAGGGTATTCACAGGCTTTCATCATCGCATCAGAGTTACATACAATGCAAATTATTTGCCACCCACTGTTTTTATGTAAAGAGACTATTACAATCAACATTACAAAATTTGGATAATGACAAATCTTTCACCTAACTAGTGCCTTTAGTTGAACTATCTAATTCGTCTTCAGTGCTTTTATTGCCTCTGAGCATTGTGGTAGAAATAATACATCTTTGACATATGGTGGTCATGAAAGATTTTATTTTAAGCTGGGTCAGAATTGATTAAATTTTGTAAATAAAATATACTATGCCTATTTATTTATATATAATGGCATAGTAAAAAAAATAGAACTGTCAAATTGAAGGTGAACGTGATAGATAGCTGGTTATACCTCTCTTTATCATGAAACTAGATTACCTATCTTAAGAATAACATACACTTATCAAATGTAAGCGCTTGTGTACATAAACTAATACAAACATGTTACAATATAAGAAAGTATACAAGTTAGAATAGTATGAATGTTACTTTAACTGAAAATAATTATCTTAATAATTAAAAACAGGCAATTCTTAAAAAAAAATTAAGAAATAAAATACTTCAGTGTGTCTTGTTAAGTACAAAAACAATTTGTTCTGAAAAAGGAACATCTGACTCATGAATGATTATCATTCAAAACATCTACATTTGAGCAGATAGTAATTGAAATAAAATAATAATAATAATATTTATTTTTCTTCCACAAACAAGTGCTAAAGTAAACAGTCATGTGGAATAATGGAGCCAGAAACTAAGCCTAAAATAAGACTTGATGTTTTCAATTATTTAAAATAATAGATAGAATATGTATGTATGTATATAACTAAATATATTATGTATTACTTTAGTTAAAACAAACTTGTAGTAAATATGTTGTAAAAATTTTATACATTCTGTAAAATTAGAATATGTATGCAACTCATAATAAATATCATCTAATGTACGCTAAATACTTAAAAAATAAATTATATTTAGTATAATTCTTTTGCATTGTCTGTTTTCTCCAAATTTGCAATTTGTTTTTATTGGACTGTTTGGTCTTCTAGAGCACCACGAACGACGTTTTAAATGACATCGAATTCGTCACCCGTATCGTATCCTTTCACAATCTGATTATTTTAATATGCGAAAATACAATCAAAAATAAACTTAAAGTACACGTATTCATTACAGTATATAGAATTATCTATTTATTTATGAAAAGGGAACCAGCTTACCTCGCCTGTTAAAGGGTCGAACCCGTACGGCTACTTTTATCTTATCCGACGCCATAATCAACACTTAAATTCCACAAATACAATCAAAACACAACACTATACATCAGAGTATAATAAATTATTGCACATATTCACCCATATTCTAAAACAACAAAATTCATTATTTCACGTTATGTTCGCAACGATCCCGGATTGACACTGTCCGCCATGTTGTTTTTGTAACTGGTCTATAGTGCTTTTCTCTACGTGCTTCCAAGATAACCGATATTTTTATAAAGCTACCATACAAAAACCGATTCTCTTTTTAAAATGACACCTTTTAAAAAAAATAATTCTGGAAATCGAAGTAGATGGTAAACTCTCTAAACTAGTAAAAAATCTTTAAACTAGTAGAGAAACAAAAATTACTCTATACATATGGGTTTTTAGGTTTTTTCTGGGCCGGGTGTTAGATGTTAGATGTTGATAGATAGAGTGTACAGGTGTATGTTTGTGCCATATTATATCCCACGTAGATGGCTAATCTATGACGAAATTTGCCGAGATAGAAATATGGTCAGGAGTACGATCAATGCTATTGAAAAATGTTTACTAAATTAAAGTATAACAAATATCAAGACGTGTTTATCCTTCTACAAATTAAAATTTCCCTAAATACCATCAGATTCTGGTACACCTATAACTATTTTTCACAATCTTCCAATTAATTATAGTGTTGGCAACACTGATATGATATAAAGGATAATGAATGAGCTGCTTTAGAAAAAGAAAATAAAAGACATCCGTTAAAACAACAATACGTTGCTGTCACTGTCATTGTCACAGAGGAACTAACTATAAATGGATTTTATTTTATTTTAGGATCATCGCCATCTTTCATTCGTTTCATTTTCATTTTACATGTAGAAATTAATTTATTCACTTGACATGGCAGAATTGTGCGAAATGCGCAGATAAGCCATTAATAAAAGAAAAAAAAATGGATTTTACTCATTGCTGTCTGTCAGTGTTGCTGTCATATCTTGTCATAATAAAATTCATGCCGATGACAAATCGCTTTTTATTTTGAAGTTTGTTTGTTAAAATTGCAAATAATAAACAACTATTTTTGAAATCAAAATTACAAAAACAACTTCGAAATGGCGTCTGATCCACTGTTTGGGTGGGACCTCACTTTCAAGACTGTTGAGAGAGATGTGAAGAGAAAGTCTGATGTTATCATTGCTTTTATCCATTGGAATCTTACAAAAAGAGGTTTTCGAAATATTGGTATCGGTGACGAGGTATTTTATGTAGAAATAATAGAATTCAGATTGCTACTTTAGTATTTTGATATGGCATGCACTACTTACAATAATTATTGTGCAATATTAATGATCTTTGATACTTGTCACTAATTTATATCTAAATTTTCTTGTAATTTATAGCGAACTTTGTCTGGAGATGAAGAAAAATCAGAACTACTGCCTACAGGTTGGAATGATAAAGAGAATTACACCTTAAGATATATTCTTGAAGAAAAACTATACATTCTACATGGGTTGAATACTGATGGCAATCTTATTGTGAATTTAATGGTATGTCAGGCACATCGTTACTTTTATTTAGTAACAATATGCAATATTCAACAGACAAGAAAAACACCAAAAAGAATCGACCTCAATTACAAATCTATTATGTGTAAAAAGAAAATATGGACTTTGGGTGCATTTTTTAAATAAAAGTTATTTTTGCCAATTTTGATTTGTGTCCCTTGAGTTTATAAACAGAGGTAGATAACACTATTCACTTTTACTACAACTACTGTTGTCCTTTTACTTACTATACTTATATAGCTTATAGATAAATAAATATACATTGGCTTTTCATACATATTTATAATAATTGTTGTTTTGGAAGAAAAGGAGCAGGGACTCATTGTGTCACAACTATCATTGTAATTTATTTCTAAACAAATATTAATAATGTGCATAATGTTTCTCAATAATCTGCCTGGCAGACAACATTTTTTTAAGTTATGTTCCATATTAGCACTATTACAAAATCTCTCCTCTATTAACCTTTAAAATGTATTTTCAGCTTTCAAATACAGTCAATCCACTTGCTTTTCGTAAGCCTTTGGTTATGTTTCTATATCATTTAAAACCATAGAGTTATCTCACAATTATTATAAAATTAATGAGAATCACTTTCACATTGTATTATTTCAAGGATTAATTTTTCAGAGGTCAGAAGACTTAGCGGTCTCCAATATTGCTGTTAAATTGGAAGATAGTGTTAAAGAGACTAGTGGCACCATAGAAAAGCTGATGCCGAACTACAAGGAACTAATGTTTAATATCAAAAGAGATCTTATTGATACTATCACTGAACGATCTACAACTACTGCAGAAACTCAGACATCAAGAAGTGAGTGTTCATAGTTGATTTTTTATATCTATCAAACACAACATACTTTTTCCTCCATAAAATTTACTCCATTTTTATTTATGTGAAATACTAGCTTTCTGCCAGCAGCTTCCCCCGCGTGGTCTAGTATTATACATAAAAACCTTCCTATTGAATCATCCTATGTATGAACTAAAACCGCATCAAAATCCATTGGGTAGTTATAAAAATTTAAGCATACATAGGAATATAGGAACAGAGAAAGCAACTTTGTTTTATACAACGGACCGTGCAGCAGAAATTGTAATATTTTAATTTGGCCATAACTTCAAAACCAAATGTCCAATTTTATTCGTTCAAAGACCAAATATTATCTACATAAACTGTACTTAGTGATATCTATTTTGATAAGAATTAATAGCATGAGTAAAATAAATGCGATTAAATGTAGTCCAAAAAAATTCAAGATTTTTAAATAAAAAAATGGTTGTTGTGCCTCATTCAACATAGATAGGTATAGTGTGTCGTGGACTTAGATATTTATAAGATCTGCAATTAATAAGAACATTTTATGGTTCTATCTTTTATAGTTTAGGCAGCGTACGCAAAATAAGTAACTTTTCTGGTTGATTTTTTACACCTTGTGTCCAAAAAACCCAAATATGGAACCTTATTTTTTTCCAAAATAAAATATAGCCTATGTTACTTGTGGATAATGTAACTTTCAAATGGTGAAAGAATTTTTAAAATCAGTTTCTGACCCTATTCATTACAATCAAACATACAAACAAAGTTTTCGCCTCTGAACATAAAACGATACAAAAATAAGGTTACTTAACATTCTAAAAAGATTTTATGACACTTGTAGTGAAGAAAAGAGAGCAAATTGCTCTAAAAAGTTGATAATATCAAATATAAGGAATGTTCAAAATATTGTCAATTATTATTGAATGTTAAGCTTTAGAAAAATTATGTATATTGTAATGTAACAAAATGTAACTTTACAATGTACATACATCATTATAATAATGTTTGTTATTCTTTGAAAATGATGCCTATTTGTCATTATATCAGTGTGTACACTATAAAATAGTAAAAAACAAGAATTGAGTTTTATAAATTTTCAGGTGATTCTAACAACAGAAGACCTTCAGATGATCCCTTAAGAATTCCTCCACGGCCATTGCCGGGCGTACATCCTGACACACCTGACCTATGGTATTTTAATTATTCTTTTATTTGAACAGATTTTAATAATAATAATAAATTTATTTTCATTTCAACAAATTTAACATACACTGCCATGTTTAATTGTTGCTAAAAATAGAGTAAAAAACTAGTCTATAAAACAATTATATATATTGATTTTTTATATTTTCACGCACACTATCCATAAATTATACAACTTTTAAACAGTTTAATTGCATTTCACTCATACTGCATGTTTATGTTTATTATATTAGCTTATTTTGTTATATTTATCTTGTGAAATAAATCATTTTGAAGAAGTTTTATGAGGCTTATTTTAGAATTCCAGTAAAATAAAACATAAAAATTGGGTGTCTATAGTATATTGTTCGAAGCTTGAATTGCTATATTATATTATTTTTAGGAAACAAAAAATAATTATTAAAACCTTGTGGACTTTGGTCACCCAGGTGATTTAAGGAAACAAAAAACTATTATTGATATCTTCTGGACTTAGGTCACTTAGGTTTGCCTGAAGGTGATTTGAGGACACGAAAATGTAAAATTTCAACACCCAGGACATCAGAGTGGAATAAACCATAATTTTGATTATCTCACTATAAACATATATGTCTGTTTGATGTGAAAATAAATAATATTATATACATACAAGATACGTGCGAAAAACATAACCCTTCCTTTGCAGTCGGGTAGTTCTGAATGATTTCACCATGCCTTGTATCCGAACCTATCCAACAATTTTAATTACTCACAATTTATATATATATATATATTATATATATTGTATTTAAATATACAACTACGTGTTTGCAGGGACTTGCCGCCAGCAGGTATGCCAAACATAGGGCGATCAGATTTGGATCCATTTGCGCCGAGTGGCGGGGGTATGATATTTAATCCATTCGGGCCGAGAGGGAACCCTGAAAATCCAGGCCTTGGCATACCTGGGGGACTGCCTAGGTATGTATTTGACTTTATAACAAAAAAAATAATATGTACCAAAAGAACTTGGGGAGGTACATTAAAATCATACATCTTCAATACGGGTGTAAACAGTAAATGAAAATAAATACATTTATTTTTCTGGTAGTGTTTAATATGATATTACCGATAATGACACTTATGCTTATTATTAGTTATAATATTACTTAACTAATTATGAAAATACAAAAATTTTATGTGTCATGTCATGTGACTGCAAACAGCGTCACGCACATCTTACTCATATCGGAACTTAGAGAATTAAGTAAATCTCATACATAAATAGAACGATCTTCGTTTCAGAGTACCGTGACGTCATAGCGACGCCATGGCAAAAGTGGCCATTTCGAGGGAAATTTTGAAAATTAAATTTGTTTTTAAATTTTAACTTATTATATGAATGATATTGTTTAAATATTTATTTTTAGATATATTTCATGTAATATAAATATTTTAAAAAAAGTTGTCTACACCCCTATTCTCCAATCATGCTGTCATTATTGGAATACTACCATACTGGAAATTTACTCTATACATGAAAAAGAAGAATTTGACAAGGCAGGCTAAATTTTTATGTCAAAATTGGACATTTGTGCGAAAATATGGATGTATATATAAAAATACAAAAAAAAATAAAGACTGCCAAAATTGCACTAAAAATAAAAGACACAAGTTGTATTATAGATTGGCTAAACAAAATTCTCATTGGAGTCGGGGGACCTCTCAGATTACAAATGTTCCACACAATGGGCCGAGACTATTGATTATTCTTTCATATTTTTTAAATTATGTTATACATCAGCCATATTAAGTAATTGAAAAAAATATAAAAAGTATTACTCAGGATGATGTAAGGTTTCTAATGGTACCTCTACATGTACGTCCTTAAAGTCTTTAAAATTATGATAAAATAAAGAAAACCCTAAACAAAAAATGGGACCCTATTCCATAAACTGTTCTGTTTCCGTTTTGACATACATATTTTACCTTGCCTTGTTGAATAATATTCAAAAACAGCGAACGGTACATAAACGTGATTTCGAAGAAAGTTGTTTAAAAGAAAGGCGAATGAAAAATAATCTATTTATTTATCTGCAGAGGAGCAGTACCGCCTGGTGCAAGATTTGATCCATTCGGTCCACCTGGAGTCCCCATGCCCGGCAGAAGAGCGCCACCACCTGACGCAGACCATTTACCTCCACCCGGTTTTAACGACAACATGTTCATGTAACATACCCCAAGCAACTAATGTTTAATAAAGTTGTTTCTGTATATAATTTCTACTTTAATTATCGCTCTCTTATTCAGATATTTTTTTTTACATTCTTTACATTAGTTATTAAGAATTATAATAATAAAGCACCTTCACTACAGCCAATGGACATCCATTGTATATGGTATTTGCCATTAATACCATCCAGTTGAATCAAATCTCATATAAAAAACATTGATGTTAATCCAAAATGATATGCAGAACATAAATAGATATTAAAAAGCTACTTGATAGTGTCTTATGTTCTTAAACGTATACGCTTAAGAACAGCACGTAAGGTTATACAAAACCGTCAATTTTCTCCACTTTATTTTAAACCTCATTATGGTAGAATACAAATATTATTGCGTTATAATCACCGAGTTAAGATTTCGAGGAAATTTACCTATTTATCCATAAAAATCATATTGATTTCTCATATAACTAAATAGAAATGCGATGAAACCGTTTAAAAATTATTTTATATTAATAAAAATTAAAGTTAAAATTCAAATTTTCTAAATCGCGCGATCCCAATGGCGCGATCCACGCTGTTTCAATCATACGCCTCCATTATGCCACGTATGACGTCACACGCAAGTAAATAAATTCCTATGCAGTTTAATTGAGTGAATTTGAATTCGGGTTCGGGTTTTTATAGAATCGACCTCCTGATTAAACTACAGGAAACCATATTTTTACTAGTGTGTAACGTCATCGGAGTTGCAACTATGAAATTAATTTCTTTAGCTTTATGGTTGGAGGCGATCTCATATAAGTAAAATGCCAAAAAAAAATTTTTGTGTAATTTATAAATTTAAACATTATTTATTTCGTTTAAATAAAGTGAAATATGTATCAAGGGTGACCACCATTTTTTATTTATTTTTAATGTTTTCTAGTACCTTCTTTTTTCTTCGCCTGTGATGTTTTTAAATACCCTATTCTTCACAGACCAAGAAGGAGATATTCGACAGGTACTCACAGAACAATATACTCTACGAGTCTCTGGAGATACTACACGTTTTAGTGATGTATCAACTTGATATACTAACTCGAGTTGAATTCTCTCTAACTCGAAATTGAATAGCGCATTAGACGAATGACACTGACATTTTGCTGATCACTATATCTATACCTATAAGCTGGTTTCCCTTCAAAACGCACAAATCTTTCTTTCATTAGCTATGTCACTACAACACAACATCGTTACAGATTTATTAAGTACTGTATAATAAAAATGCCGGGAACTTAATAGATTTTTTTTGTGAAGACTACTAAAATTAAACATTTTATTTATTGATAATCTACATAAATACTTACCTACTTCATTTATGTCATAGATTTAATATTAAATAATGATAAATATCACTTTTGTGCCTTTGCAAGCATATGAAAAAATAACATTCCATGTCATAATCAGTATTATGTATTTATTGCCCTATTTTTATTATTATTTAATTTATTGCTAGAATTTGTGACGTTTGTTTTAGGTCAGAGAAATGAGAGTGTACTCAAGGAAGAAACGAATATTACTAGTAAAAACCATTACCAAGAAATTCCATTCGTGTCTCTTTGAACACAAAATATCCCATAAGGGATAAGCATCACGGCAAATTTATCCCATAGGGGAGGCCTACTTTAAATTGGCATTATAAACATTTCGTAAATTTCGTAATGGTCTTTTGTCGCAAGTGTGGATATTCTCATGATTATGGGATAATAGATATGGGATAATGGATATGGTTAATGGGAATAACATCACGAGTCCACTCGAGTCTGTTTATTACGAGTTGACACAAAGGATATCGATACTTTTTTACGTATATTTTTATATATTTTTCTTCGACAAATCAACAATACATTTTTTTTTCAAAGATCACAAATTAAAACATTGGTCATACACGATGTGGTCATGTTTCATTCTGTTATCGTGATACACGCGTTAATTATAAAACTCTTCTATAATAAGATTCATGTTACGTTCTGACTTAAATGAAAATGACTATTATAAGTACGTTTATGTAAATTCCATGATATTTTTAATACTGAAACTACTTTAAGAGGTAGCTTTCATATAATTTAAATAGCAACACTTTTAAAAATACAGGAATGAAATAGAATAGCAACACTAGCCATCAGTTTCAATATTTTTTTGTGCGAAGCACACGTTTTCTGCGTGTGTGGCGAGTTTTTAGCTGCTCACGGCTGCAACCGTTCAATTTCTATTCAATGTGTATGGCTGTGGAGGTAAGTGTAGAATTTATCTTTTTAATTTGTTATATACCGATAAATTCGTCATTATATTCATTTTTATGAAGGTCACGTCCTCCAATTGAACGACGAAGCGTCATGCATGATCCTGAACCCATTTAAAAATTATTTTGCTCTAATATGACACATTCTTATGAATATTATTTTAAAACGACTCGTTGATTTGTTATTGTATACCAATTACTAAAGTTTTAGTTTCATGACAATGTTACATATACATAAAGGATTCTTTGACTTTCATTATGTGACGCTATGCCTTGTTGCCTTGTGGATCGTCTTACGCCTAGCGGGCTGTGGCCTCAATAATATGATTTGAATTTTTTCGTGATTTGAATAATCTTTGAACTGTTTCAATAGATTTTATTTTCATAAAACATTCTACTTGTATCATTACGGCATTGTCTTGTTATGTGATGTAATATGTTGAAAAATAAAATATATTTCTATTTTAACGATGCAATATTTTTAAAGATCGCCAAGAAAATTTTACTTACTTTTTAATATGTATGTTAATCAAGTTTCATCTACCCACATTTTTTGAAAACTATATAGTTACATAAAAACTACATATAAGATTGTTGCTATTCCTATCTCTTCATTTTTTCTATTGAACAATAATTACTTGCTATTTCATATTATTTTGTAATAGTGCACTTTAATTCACAACAAAACTAGTATAGCCCGAACTGCTTTAGAAACTGCTATAAAGCAGCGAATCATATTTCTAATTTCCTTTTCAATATATGCAAGGACAAATATAATATTTCAGTGGGTATTGAGTTCAGTAATCTGTATTTCAGTACTTGGACGAATAAATCTAACCTCTGTAAACATTTTATTTGATTAGCAACCATCTCTTTTTATTTTTGTTATTATCATAAATTACAATTGGAAGACATCCAAATTGCCCAATGTAATTTTTTTATTGTAAGTAATGAAATCGAATAAATTGACTAAAGTAGTACATGCTTAAAAACGTGCATTTTCCAGTTCATTGATTTATAAACAGTGAAATGCTTATTTCAATTGTTTCCTTCTATAATGCCTATTGTCTTAATGTGAGCCAGTTGTAGATGAATGGGCACAGACCACTTGATTGATATTATCTCCAATATCAATATATATTAAAAAAAATGATATGACATTATATTGATGCTATAGATACTCATGTCAGTCTAGACTCCAAACAACTTTAAAATGTAAATAAAATAACTCAATGCTTTATTAAGTTATCTTAGTATCTTAGCAACTATAATGGCTTTATAACTATTGAAATATATGTTACCTTTGTAATTTTGTTTAATAAATGAAAGATCATAAAAAAGTGCCCATCTTTCTTTGGGTTGATACAATGCATTTCATACTTAAAATTGCACCTGCACATGTAATGATTTTTTTTCTTAAATCATTGGGTTGCTTTTATACCCATTCTCGTGGTGGGAATTTTTACCTGGACCCTACAGGTGTTTCTTTTTATATGTAATCAAAATACAAATGGTTTAAAATGTTTCACTTTTGACCATGCATAAATAGAAGTGTTATATTGTGATGTTTTTTATAATAAGGAACCATAGTGCGATTGTATTAATCTACACTTTCCCTTGGCATGAAACAGTGCAAATCGAATTCTAAGTTATCTAATTTTAAAATTCGAATTTCAAGTACACAGAAATTGTATGTAGTTCCCTCGCACAGAACTACGTCTATAGAGGGAACTTGGATTTTCAATACAAAATTTGACATTTCTGTTCAACATAATATCCATTCGCGAGACTACAATAGATAGTTTCCGTGCTAAAGCTACTGAACGTAAAATTAAACTGCGTTGAATATACTTACATTGACGTCATTTGCTAATGCGCGCTACATTCAGTTTAATCAGTAGGTACCTTATTAAAGGAATGTTTTTATGTTTTTGTTCAACAAATAACGGCGGAAAATGCAGTACTCATTACGTCATTTATAGTGCAATGTCTTGAAAATTGTAGAAGTGCGTGCTTATCTAATAGGTATATGTTTCGTCTCCGTCACTTCAGTGTTTTTTTCATTGCAATAATATTAAAAGTCAAGTGATGCATAATTTTGCATATTGGGTAGATATTTGCTCGATAGATCAATCTCAGCCGACAGAGGCGAACGAAAAAGTATTTTCGTCTTGCAATTGAGTCCCAAATTACAGGTGATAGGTATTGGGAAGATTTAACTCGTACAGCAGCTCTACAGCATGACTTTAGTTTTGATTGACCTGTCGATATGTAGATCGGTATGATCTGTCAGCAGTCCATTCGACTTACAGCTGACCATTCAGGATTGGTCTAGCTTTGGACTGATAACGCTGATTAGCCTGGTGACAGTTGATCTGTCAGTTTGACAGATCATTCAGGGCTTCATTTTGACGTGTTGTTACGAAGAATCGTAGAATTCTTTTCTTTCGCCATCGTCGGCACGATCCGTTCGGATTGAAATACGTTTACGTCATACCGATTTTCATGCGGAAAAGAAATGTATAATTTCTCAAGGTCTTGTATAACTCGATCGAAATATAAAATGATCCGAGGTTGGGCACATTTAATTGACTTGCGAAATCCGGGGGGTCACAAGTTACATAAAATTATACAATTAAGTCTCTAGATTATCCTGTAGTCAGGACGGGCCATCGACTTGACCTTGAGCGGGTTTTGACCCTGCGCTGGCGCTTCTGGGTCCGTTACCCCGAACACGCATGATTATGCGCACGATCACTCGCCTC